CTCCTGCAGTGGCCGGGATGGCTGCCCAGCACTCCTGGCAGCCACTGTCTTTCAGAAACATCTGCTCTGCGCTGCCAGCTTTAATTAAAAAAAAAAATTTTAAAAATGTGCCTAAGAAGCCAAAGTATTGGGAAATAAATACGGCCTGATACTGGCGGGGGGCCCGCAGGAGCAGCAGATCACGGTCTGGGGTAACGATGATCATAGAATGGGCTGGGTTGGAGGGGACCTTCAGAGGTCACCTGGTGAGGAGGTGAGTGGGTGATTGATATCAAACACTAAATCACAGGAAAATTAAGTGAATGTGGGACTAAAAAGTCCTACTGGGATTTTATATGAGTGATACAGGACCTTTGGGGTCTTCTGTATAAGTGATACCAATGCAATAAAAATTAAAAAGCCAAAAAAGGCACACAGAAAAAAAAAAAAACGAACCAGAATTTTTCAATGTGAAGGGTGACATGGCCAAGGGAAATTCTCTGCTGGAGCTCAGCTCGTAGAGAGGAATTGCTTGGGGCGCAGAGAGTCATTACTTAGGTGTCAGTGATCATGGCTGGGTCACATTTTTGTCATGTAAACACGGTGCACATCAGCGCCTGACAACTGCTTCAGAGGAGGCTGCCTCGAGGCCAAGATCAACTGCAGCCGAGTAAACAGGGTGAACGTAAAAATATGAATAAGTAGGAAGAGTTTAAGAGTACTTGGCCAAATGTTGCAGTGAAAACAAGACTTGGAAGGGAAGGAAAGCCAGGGGACAGGGAGAAGGCAAAACCTGGTGGCAAAGAAGGTAAACTGATGGTTTGACAGGGGCTGGAGAACAGGTTTTTGGGTTTTGCGGTGTGGCAGGGGCCGGCAGCCGCGCCAGGGGCTGATGGGGGGAGATCCTTACCTCCCAGGGCGACCCTGAGGGGTGCTGAGCTGCACCGCCTGCGCTCCAGACGGCATTTTGCAAGAATTTCTTCCTTTGGATCCCGGCTGCCGCCCGTTGATGTGTCTTGGGGCACTGGAAAGTTCCCAGAGCACGGGAGGAAAATTCATTCCTTTTTTCAAGGCGGGGGGCGGGGGATGAAGTCAAGCAGGGCAGTCTCTGGCGTGTTGTGTTTACCAACACAACTCTGACGGTGAATAAAATAATTGAGCGGTAGATGAGTTACGTGTTGATCACTAAATAAAAGGGTAACTCCTGCCAAGCGAGCCGGGGCTTTCGGCAGTCTGGTGTAGGCAGGCTCAGTGTGTATCTCTTTTTTTATGAGATTAATTGTGATTACCCAAGTGATACTCTTGGCATAATGCATTTATGATCAGCTTGGATAATTTAGAAAACAATAATCAATACAGCGCATACAAAGCAGATTGGAAAAAAAAATTGTTTAGCTCATTGTCTTCAAAATCACTGCAAGAAGAAGTTGCTGACTCGGGTGTTTCCAGGCGGGGTCCTGCAGGGGTCAAGCCTCCCTTCCCCGCTAGTGACACTCGGGTCCACCACCGGGGGGAAAATCTGTGAAACCTGGAGGAATGAGGAAGATGAGGAGGACACAGTATGACTCCTAAAAAATTTGTGGAGGTTGTGGGATGCTGAATATGTGTTTTCAGGGCAAGTTTGTAACCAAGGCTGAGCTCACCAGGAGAGTTTACCCTTTGTGCATGGTGGTGGTGGAGCCCTTGTCGGCGACCTCTGTCATTACAGCACCCAGAGTCGAGACAAACGCCGAAACCGAAGGGGTTGAGGAGGTTGATGAAAATGATGAAATAACCATAAAATCGCAGAATGGTTTGGGTGGAAGGGACCCCCAGAGCCCACCCAGCCCCCCTGCAGGAGCAGGGACACCTTGAACCACATCAGGTTGCTCACAGCCCCGGCCAACCTGGCCTGGAATGTTCCCAGGGATGGGGCCTCCACCCCCGCTCTGGGCAACCCCTGCCAGGGTTTCACCACCCTCACTGCAAAGAATTTCTTCCTTAGATCCAGCCTAAACCTCCCCTGCTTCAGTTTAAAGCCATCCCCCCCTGTCCTGTCCCAGCTGGCCCTACTAAAAAGCTTGTCCCCCCTTTCCTCTGGGCCCCCTTGAAGCCCTGACCGGCCGCACTCAGCTCTGCCCGCAGCCTTCTCTTCTCCAGGCTGAACACCCCCAACTCTCCCAGCCTGGCCCCAGAGCAGAGGGGCTCCAGCCCTCGGAGCATTTTAGTAGCCCTCCTCTGGCCCCGCTCCAACAGGTCCAGGGAATTCCCAGCTCCAACAGGGCTGGGAATAGATGTGGGAGGGTGCATAGCTTTACATCCGAAGACTCCAGTAGCGTGCGTGTAACACGCCGGGGTTAAGGACTGATTTGCTGTTGCTAAAAATAGAGAAATCAAATATAATCGCAGGGAGCTTGAGCAGGCAGGCTTAACAAAAGGCACAGAGCAGAAGTTGAAGCCAGGCACATCCAGAATGAAAATGAGTGGCGTGTTTTTAGCGGG